TAAACATTGCACGTACACACATAAATGGTAAATTATGCCAAACATGTGCGCATCACCGCAAAATTCACAACATAACGCAAGCGTTGCCGGTGAAATGAATGTGAAAATAAAATGAAATGCACAAAAATTAAATGAAAAATGTGTAGAAATGAGGCAAGAAAAATAAATACATACAACCACAACAAAGCTTAAATAGAAAATGCAAGTGCCAAAAGCTAAACTCCTCATGCGCGTAGTAGATGTGTGTATTTGTATGTGCAGAAAAAAAATGTTAAAAAATTGTCGACAGAAATTGCATTCATAATGAAAAATTATGTAAAGATGAACACCTATGCATAACAAAATGAGTGAGAAAGCAATAAAGAAAAAAATAAGGCAAAAAATTTGAGCATATGTATGAAGACAGTTGTAGAAATTTAATGCAATAAGCGCGCACATGAAGAAGCAAAAGGTCTCATTTATTTGTAGCGACTAAATTGTTGTTTCACTCTTCAATTGATTTAACATCATAAATAAATAATAAAGCAAGCAATGTGAAGCATAAAATAAAAAGCTTGTTATCAACAACTGCTTGAACTTTCTCGTCATTAGCCTTAAAGTCGCATGCATTACTTAGTTTACGCATTGTATGGATACATAATTATACATATTAATATTGGCATTTTGATTATAATCAATGTAATTATATACCGTCAAATAAATATATGTATGTACTTATGTATGTATAACTAGCTTTGCAAACTTGTGGGTATGGAGTTTGTATTTACTGTCGTACTTAGGAAAAAGCGAAGTCATCGCAAAATACTAAAGTTAGTAGCAGTTCGTTGGAAATTTAACAATAAAATCGAGATGAGTTTGATGAGTTTTTAATGCACCCAAGTGAATTTTTTGGCTAAGATTTCGTTAGTTAGGAGACTATGTATGGAACTTAGAAGCTTTCAAAATTGGTAAGTATTCTTCAGAATATTCCGACAATGTTGGCGAATCGGGAAATAGTACAGGAATAATCTTTTTTCGAAGAGTTTTAAGTAACTAATTTTTAGACATAACCTACACTTAAGTAGTGTATGTTTATTAAAGCTTAGTACAGCTACTAGGAAAGATCTTATTGGAAAAAAAATGTTTAAATTTAATATCTATAGATATTAGTCAAATAGAAATGTACGTACTGCAACCATGCAAATGTACGAGTAGATACATACTTACATGCGTACTAAGGTGAGAAAACGTACTAAATAAACGTTTCGAATTTGCGCATGCGGCGCCAGTAAGCTCAAACTTACATATGAACGAGATTTCCATTTATTTTTATTCGTTATGTTACTTTTTCGTAATACGTGTAATGTCGATCACTTTTACCGCTAAACAAATTAATTACTCATAAATGAGTTTAATTTATTTATTGACTAGTTATATAAAGAAAAAAAATACAAAAAGGAAATAATTTAAAGTCGGGAAACATAAAAACTGCATACAAGTACAAGCGAAACTTTATCTACGTTTAAAATGCATGCCTATTTTTTAAACATACAAATGTAGTATGTACATACGTATGTACTTTTTAGGTGTATGTAGTTCATGAATTAATGCTGCACATGCTTTCAAACTAAAATTAACCGTTATGAAAATTTGCAACCTTGGACTGTCGACATTGGGTCAATAAACTTCGTTGCCGCTATTCATTTGCAGGTTATATTTTTTTCACAAGTTTGCAAACAAACTTTAAATGCTTGCAATAGAAAATCTCAAATTTTATCAAAAAATGCATAAACTAAATTTGGAAGTGCAATTAAGTTGCAGTAAAATAAGTAAGAAATAAAAATTTAAATGTGGCATACATACATACATACATATGTACTGCCAAGTGTATAAAGGTACATATGTATGTACATATGTATATGTAACAGTATGTAGCAGCTAAGCTATGTTAATACTAGTATCAATTACCAAATTGTATGCTGCTGCTCTAGTTGATTATTGGCTCGGAAGGAAGTAAACGCATTTCGGTGACTTGCAAAGAGGTGCATATATTAAAAGTTAATTGCTAAAAACAAACTGTTGGTGAGCTGATCGAAGGCCATAACTGAAATAAAAAGGTTTATTTAAATTCTTTTTGGTTTTAGGTTTCCAATATGCATATAGGAATGGGTGGATGAAAGATACTGCAACATTTGAGAAGCTCTAGCAAAGGAACGAAAGCTGATATAACCGTTCACTTACGCTTCAATAAAAGCTAGGACTCTCCACTACTATCTTTGAAAATACCATTTCAGCACCTTGACCTGATGGTCACTTATTGTCATTTATGGAACAGCTAAAACTGATTTTAGCGAAGTTTAAGTACCTACCGCAATTAAACAAAAGATGATAGAACCTCCCACTTGGGATTATATTACGGCTTGAACTTTCGACTATAATTGCTGAGAATGCCATCCCTGCACCTTGACGATAAGGGCACTTCTTTATTGCACAGAAAAATCTCATTTTGACAAAATTTGTTTTTCAGTAGCACAAATTTTCAGTATTTTTTTATTGTTCACTAAATGACTATAAATGATCATCAGCTCAAGGTGCTGAGATAGTATTTTTATAGGCATTAGTCGAGAGCTCTAGCTTAAGTTTAAGCCTAATTGGAGGTTTCTATCAGCTTTTCTTTCTTTGCTAGAGTTTCTCAAATATTGCACAAAACGCGATTTTTTACACTTTTTCTCGCAAAGGGTCCGTTGGCCGATTTTGCCACATAGTCGCATCCGACTGGAAAGTCCGGGGTTAGATAACTTTTGAATTAAACTTGATTCAAGTACACCGTGATGCAGATGTGGTCGAAATGTTAGCGTAAAAATTATTAAAAATCAACGTGACCTCTTAGCCAGTTGCAAATTTCACAATTTTTTTTTATTTTTATAAAATTTTTTTATAAACAATTTC